TAAATAAAAAAATGAAAGCGAGAAAGTAGAGAGGAGAAAAGGGAATGAAAGAGAGAGAAAAGGGGAACAAAAGAAGAAAAAGAAAGAGGAAATGAAAGAAGGGGAAAAAGAAATGAAAGAAGGAGAAAAGGAAATCAAAGAGGGAGAAAAGGGAATGAAAGAAGGAGAGAGTGTAAAATGGAAATATAAAAAAGATGAAAAATATAGAGAGTAAGAAAGAGAAAAAAGAAAAGGAATAAAAAGAATATAAAAAAACAATAGGTATAAGAGAGAGAAATGGGAAGGAGAAGTGATAGAGCAAAAGAAGGAAAGACAGAAAGAGAAGAATGAAAGGAGAATGAGAATAAAAGAGAAAAAAAAAGAAAGAAACAATAAAGGAAATCACAAGAATCCTTTGTTCAACAAAAATGGAAGAATAAAAAACTAGTGAAGTGTGAATTGTTTATTCCAAAGGGCAAATAATAAGGTAGATTTCAAGTCTTTATCTTCTGACACTATCTTCCAACAGAGTCCATTATTTGTAGCAATTACATGATTATTTTCTCAGTTACTATTATTAGCAGATATTTTATTATCTACGATGTTTGTTAAGCAATCAACATGAAGTGCGTAATTCACAGAAGGAATTTAATTTTCTTATCTAAGAAGTGAGAAATATTTCTCTTCCTTTTAACAACTTGCCTCTCAATCTGATCCAATAATGGCACACTTCTTTAAACAATTTATTTTGATTAATAGGCACCTCATTTTATATTCATCTGTTTCATTTTATAAACATATTTTTCATCTCCCATCTACAGGGGTATATCAATAAGCTTCTAGCCCAATGTGGCAAAACAATTTTATCAAAACAAAAATATCACAATTAGGCTGACTAATGAAAACAACAACCTATGTTGTCATCTTCTTCTATGTGCTGTGTTCTTTCAGCACATTAGTGATAATGGCTCTCCCCAATTTCCTGTCCTTTATAGCTCTTAATAAATTTTATCTTTTTTGCTATCTTTCCTAAACTCTGTTCTGCCATCTACTTACACAAGCCTGCTAGGTAGGTTATGCATTGTTTTCCTCTCTCTCTCTTGCCTTCAATCTGTCCTGTGTGTATCAAACTTTCCAAGCTCTCATTCCTCATTATGTGCCCTAAAAATTTAAACTGCTCTTTCTGATGTTAAGTATAAGTGTCCTTTTTGTTTCAATTTTCTCTAAAACTTCAATATTGCTCAGATATTCAGTTCATGTTAATCTCAACATTCTTCTGTAGAAGCATATTTCTGTTGCTTCAAGTCTTTTCTTCATCTGTGAGGAGATTGTCCAGCATTCACTGCCATATAAGAGGACTGATATTACATAATAGTTCAGTACCCGTTTCTTTGTTTTTAACAAAATTTTCCTGTTTCATAATACTTTGCTTAAGTTTTGGAAGGCATTTTTTGCTATTAAACTGTTGTACTTGGCTGAGTTTGGTATCCCCAATTTGTAATTTGCATGTTGAACTGTCCCTTGTCCTAACAACCATGCATTCTATCTTTTTGCAATTGTTTAGTCCTTTTTATCACTTTCTTTTAATATGTTCTTTTGGAGTTCTGGTAGTTTATTTCATTTGTTTGCTATCAACACTGTGTCATCTGTATATCTTATGTTGTTAAGATTGTGGCTGACAGTAATGAACCCTGGTAGGACTTCTAATTCTCTCAGAATCACCTCACTGTATAGATTGAATAAGTCATCAATAATTTTATCAAGTCTCATGTATTCTTTTTCAAAATTATTAGTAATAATGAATATCGGATTGAGGAATCGGAGAGCTGAGTTCAAGTTCAAGTCAAATCTATTACATTCACTTACGAAAAGGTATGAATCCTCGTTTTCTCCCTCTAGCCATGGGTAAATAGCAGGACAGACCGGGTTCTATAGCCTTGGATGGCAACTGGTCTACTGCAGAAAGAAATGGCAACCTACTGTGGGAACAAAATCTGCCTTGTCAGTCATGTATGGAAATACATGATCACCTAAACGTGTATCACGCATGGTACGTAACTGATTGAATGTAATTTCCTAAGTTTTGCTTTACTATTTAGAAGAGCTGTAAGTTTAAATTTATAAATCTGAATCATATTCACTTCCAAAAATAAAACCAATCATTCTTAAAAAAAAAGTTTTATCAGCCTTTTTTAAGTATAAAAATTCACTAATTATGAGGCCCAAGACTCACTCAAGGTAGAGGGTTGCTTAAAATGGTAACGATAAATGGAGTGTATAATATGAATTAAAGAGGAGATTGTAGGAAGTGAAGGTTATGGCAATAAGAAGGACAGATAATGACTGACCCTTACAGGAGTCTGTTCCACAAAATGCAGAATTAGGTGTGTGATATGAATAAAGAGAAGGTAATAGAAAATGAATATAATGAGGATATGGCAAAAAGAGAATGAGTGACCCTTAAATTGACAAGGTCAAGAGTGAAGTTCAGGGGAGCAGACATACAGGTGTCTGTTCCAGTGACATTGGAACTTTATTCTGTACTAAACAGATTCCTTTCCTTTTAGAATCACTTAGTACACACAAACACACTCTTTTTATATATATATATATATATATATATATATATATATATATATATATATATATATATATATATTAGGTGGGCTCATCATGTTGTGAGAATGGATGAGCATAGGCTTCCAAAGAAGGTGCTGTATAGACAACTACCAAACTCAAAGCGTTCAGTTGGATGTCCACTCTTACGCCACAAAGACAAATTGAAAGACAACTTGAAACGTCACAACTTTGATCTGAAAATCTGGGAAGCACAAGCATCAAACCAAAAGGAGTGACATAAGACATATCTCATTAAGTTAAAGGGTTTTGAAGACAGTAGACTGAAGCACTATGATCAGCTACGTCAAGCTCTGAAGCAGAGATGCAATCAAAATCTTGCTTTAACAATTTCATCTGTTAGTGTTGCATGCAGCAAGGCTGGGCTAGTACCACACTTAAGAAAGCACAAATGAAATATGTCTTTCCCTTACCAGATTTTCTCCACAATAGCTCCTGCTAGGATACATAAGTGCAAAACAAAAGCACCATCCAATGCTGATCCTCATTTATTATTCAGGATAGGAGAGTCCACCATATATATATGCTGTAGCATACCTACAGACAATAATGGGTATGACCCCATTCACATAAATACAGTAGTAAATACTGTATGTTGGTCTGCAGTTGGAGATTCATTGTGGAATTCACTTGACTCACTTCTAGCAGTTGACTACTTCTTCTACACACTGCTGACAAATCTTATATGTGTTGTTCATGTTCTAAGTATTATCGTTCATTACCAACCTTCGTTTGATTATGTTATATTCCGTGCTAATAGGAATATATACTTGAAAAACATGGTGGATAAAATAAGAAATGGTTTACTGTACAAAACCAGTACAATAAGAATAAAGGTAACAGTTATGCACAAGGTTGTTGGAAAGTCAATCCAGTAGTGAGTGCTACTATTGAGTCGTACTCAACAGATCCCAGCTAGTCTCTGTAGTCCGCTGACTTACAGATACTTATAGGAAGTTACTCATGGGGAGACAGGTTAGTTATTCCATTACATCAGATTATTCTATTCAGTAACTTTCCCTAGGTTACATCTCTCTCTCTCTCTATATATATACATATATATATATATATATATATATATATATATATATATAAAATACACCACATATATATATCTATTTATATTTTTTTGTGTGTAACAATTGAGGGGCAGTGTGTAAAATAACAATGATCCACCCGGTGCCATGCTAACTTGGCCCCGTTGATGTCTACTGATATCACTATAGAAAAGGGTTCATATATATAATATACCACATATATCTTCAAGAATGCTTTATTCATTTTTAAATGATTTAATTTATATTAACTTTGCTACATTAAAAGTTATTTTTAGTGGGTACATGTATTTTAGTTGCAATCCCCGTTTTCTTGTGCCCACTAAAAATAACATTTATAGTAATAAAGAAATAATGTTGGATAAGAAATCCATTCAAAAATTAGCTTAAAATATAAACACAATTAGAAATTTAAGAGAAATAATTTAATCACATATGAACTTCATAATAAAATTCCCTTTTTAGATGCATTAGTCAATGTGAATAATAATATACACTAATAATTCCCATATGCAAGCATCAACACATTTTCTCATACAAACACATACATACATATATACGACAAACATGTACACATGCTTAGAAACATGCAAACATATATATATACACACACACATATACAAATACCAAAAACATGCACATACACTAATGCACACAGTTTTTAAGCAAGAGCCATGTTTAACTTGAGGGTTAAAAATTTAGTCATTTCTACGGGTTGTTTTTTTTGCCTGCCTTTAGAAGGTTCCCATTGCAACCCCAAAGGGAAAATCCTCCCTCATTTTGATAAAACTTTGCTCAAGACAAAACAGATTGAACTGAAACCATCTTGTGAATGGTGGTTATTATGATGATATTTTTTATTTTCGGAAAATGGCAGATTTGTTCTTTGATAATTGCCAAACTGAATTGCTCTAAAAGAGTCTCGAGGAAGCATGAAAAATGCAAATAAATTAACAAAAAAAAAAAAAATTTTGTTCAGTCAAAAAGAGGAAATAAATAAAAAAAGATCTGAAGGACAAAAATAATTTTAAATATTTAAAATTTAATTTTTTTTAAAACAGGAATCAAGAAGAAAAACTATTTTGTACTAAAAATTCAAAATCTAAGATGAGTGAAAAAAAAAAATGTTCATTATTCAAATTCTTTAATTTTTTATGTTGCTCTGGTTTTTTAATCCAAGAGAAACAAATAATGGGAGGGGGATGAATAAAAAATTAAATAAATTACAAAAGTCAAATGTGAAAAGAGAAGACTAGAAAGGGAGATTCCCAAGAAAAAGAAGTTGAAGGAAGAGAAAAAAAAAAAGACTGAGTGATGAGAAGCAGAAGATTAAATTGTAAGTAGGGTTGGGAGGGGGAGGGAATTACCAATAACTGGAAAACAAGAAGATTTTACAAAAAAGATGGTCAGAAAATAAGGGAAAGAAAGAAAAAAGAATGAATGAAAGCATTCAAAAGAAGAAATAGGGGGGAAAAACAAAAGGAAGAAATGAAAAAAGGCAAAAGAAAAAAGATGGACAAAGAAAAATAGAAAAGAAAGAACAAGAAGAATGAAGTGGAGAAAAAGGAAAAAGAATGAAAAAGAAAAAGAATTAAGTAGAGAAAAAGAAAAAGAATGAAGTAGAGAAAAAGAAAAAGAATGAAAAAAAGAAAAAGAATGAAAAAGAAAAAGAATGAAGTAGAGAAAAAGAAAAAGAATGAAAAAAAGAAAAAGAATGAAAAAGAAAAAGAATGAAGTAGAGAAAAAGAAAAAGAATGAAAAAAGAAAAAGAATGAAAAGAAAAAGAAGAAAAGAATGAAAAAGAAAAGAAAAAAAGAAAAAAGAATGAAGTAAAAAAAAAAAGAATGAAAAAAGAAAAAAGAAAAAAAGAATGAAAGAAAAAGAAAAAGAATGAAAAAGAAAAAGAATGAAGTAGAGAAAAAGAAAAAGAATGAAAAAAAGAAAAAGAATGAAGTAGAGAAAAAGAAAAAGAATGAAAAAAGAAAAAGAATGAAGTAGAGAAAAAGAAAAAGAATGAAAAAAAGAAAAATAATGAAAAAGAAAAAGAATGAAGTATAGAAAAAGAAAAAGAATGAAGTAGAGAAAAAGAAAAAGAATGAAAAAAGAAAAAGAATGAAAAAGAAAAAGAATGAAGTAGAGAAAAAGAAAAAGAATGAAGTAGAGAAAAAGAAAAAGAATGAAAAAAGAAAAAGAATGAAAAAGAATGAAGTAGAGAAAAAGAAAAAGAATGAAAAAAAGAAAAAGAATGAAAAAGAATGAAGTAGAGAAAAAGAAAAAGAATGAAAAAAAAAAAGAAAAGAATGAGAAAAAGAAAAGAATGAAAAGAAAAAAGAAAAGAAATGAAAAAAAGAAAAAAATGAAAAGAAAAGAATGAAAAAAGAAAAAAATGAAAAGAATGAAAAAAAAGAAAATGAATGAAAAAAAAAATGAAAAAAGAATGAAAGAGAAAAGAAAAGAATGAAAAAAAAGAAAAGAATGAAAAGAATGAAGTAGAGAAAAAGAAAATGAATGAAAAAAAAAAAGAAAAGAATGAAAAAAAAGAATGAAGAAAAGAAAAAATGAAAAAAAAAGAAAAAATGAATGAAAAAGAATGAAGTAGAGAAAAGAAAAAAGAAAAAGAAAAAAAAAGAAAAGAATGAAGAGAGAAAAGAAAAGAATGAAAAAAAAAGAAAAAAGAAAATGAAAAGAAAAGAAAAAGAAGAAAAAAGAGAAAAAAGAAAAGAATGAAGTAGAAAAAGAAAAAAGAAAAAAAGAAAAAGAATAGAGAAAAAAAAAAAGAAAAAAAAAAGAATGAAAAGAAAAGAATGAAGTAGAGAAAAGAAAAGAAAAAAAAAGAAAAAAAATGAAAAGAAAAAGAATGAAAAAGAAAAAGAATGAAAAAAGAAAAGAAAAGAATAAAAAAAAAAAAAAAAATGAAGTAGAGAAAAGAAAAAGAATGAAAAAAAAAAAAAGAATGAAAAGAATGAAGTAGAGAAAAGAAAAAGAATGAAAAAAGAAAAGAATGAAAAGAATGAAGTAGAGAAAAAAAAGAAAAGAAAAAAAAGAAAAAAAAAAAAAAAGAATGAAAAGAAAAAACAAAAAAAAGAAAAAAAAAAAAGAATGAAGTAGAGAAAAGAAAAGAAATGTAGAAAAAGAAAAGAATGAAAAAGAAAAAGAAAAGAAAAGAAAAGAAAAAAGAGAAAAGAATGAAAAAGAATGAAGTAGAGAAAAGAAAAAGAATGAAAAAAGAAAAAGAATGAAAAAGAATGAAGTAGAGAAAAAAGGAAAAATGAAGTAGAGAAAAAGAAGAATGAAGTAGAGAAATAAAAGAAGAATGAATAATAAGAATAAAGAGAAAAAGGAGAAAAAACAGTAAAAGAAATAAATAAATAAGTGCACTAAAAAGAAAGAATGAAATAAGCAAAACAGACAAAAGAAATTTGGAATTTTTTTTGGAATGCATTTTTTCTTAGTCCAAGAACTTTTCATCTCATAAGTTTTTGTGACATATTTGACTCAACCTAAATTTGCCAGACATATTCTCACTTTGTGAAATGATAAATAATATGGCAAAAAAAAAAACAAAAAAAAAACATGATTTCATTTTTCGTCAGACTACCCAATATTTTAGTGAGGACACATGTTGATAAGTGTCATGAAAAGACAGTTTTCTATTTTGTTTTTTTAGTTCCTAAGTAAAACTTCCAAATAGTAAGGTTTAAACAAATAAATAATCTTATATGTCGACATTAATACACAAATTAATTTTAGTTATAACCAATATAAATGCACTGAACTAGAAATGATGTTAGTAAAATAAAATAAGAAATTAAATAGCAGGATTGATTCTCACTTTGTTGTTCTTGAAAGAGAGATTTTGTAAAATTGACCACCAGTTTCAAGGCTCACAAAAAACTCTAAAATAAAAATTATAGTTAATACATCACAAAGGTTCTAAACTACAAAATTTTATAAAAATGTTGAAAAGAAAATAAATACTATTACTCTGTATATTTGAATGTACAATGAAGGATTAGATTGTAGCATCTGACTGATCCCAGCCCTTCTGATCCATACTATTATTCTGTTTGCATCTATGATCATTATGCTTTTCCATCAAGGATCAGTGTGTCACATCTGACTGATCCCAGCCCTTCTGATCCATACTATTATTCTGTTTGCATTTATGATCATTATGCTTTTCCATCAAGGATCAGTGTGTCACATCTGACTGATCCCAGCCCTTCTGATCCATACTATTATTCTGTTTGCTTGCATCTATGATCATTATGCTTTTCCATCAAGGATCAGAGTGTAATTTATGACTGTTCACTGTTATCATTCTTTCTAGTATTGATGGAGGTTTCCTTCCTAACCATTTGTCTAAGGTAGTGTGGAGTTTCAACATTTCGATTATATCATTATTTTCCCTTCTAGTTACACATGCTATCAATTTTAGTTGTTGCCACTGTTGGAAGTCTTCAAGTGAAGTAGTTTTTATTTTTTTAATTTGGCAAAGCTCTTTGTGATTCTGAAGTGTCAGTCTATGAGATCTGACAAAGAATAGTTTTATTTTAAAACTTATAGGGTTCATTCACTCAAAGTTATTTTCAATCATTGATCTGAAATAATGCTTGTATTTCGCTGATCATTTAGGAATCTCTGAATGAGTTGGACTCCTATGCATGACATCCATATGAGGCTAGATCTGATGAGGTTCTCACTAGAATTCTTAGGTTAATACTTTGTTTTTCTAGCATATTGTTGTGTTAGGTAGAAACTACCCCTATTCTAAGTTCAATTTCCTTATTTCCTGTACTAAATTTCTTATAACTGATCCATACACTAAAGTATAGGTATATCCATACACCAACAGGAAGTGAAGATTGAAACGGATAAAAGAAAGAATAAAAAGATACTAGAGTGAGAAAAGAGCAGAATGGCATGAGATAATGGATAGTGTTAGGTGTGGTGATGGTTTCAGTCTTGGAAATGACTGCTAAAAACATTATCCCCCTCCCCAAATTTATGAAAAAATCCTACAGATGCATGCTGGGATCACTTCTTGGCCTGTCATATTTTTTTTTTCTTGTTTTGAAGTCAGAATGCTACAATCACTTGACTGTATCCCTTTTGTGTGTTAACACCATTCTTTCTTTATGAACTTTTTGTTTTATTACTGTTGCTTTGCCTATGTTTGTCTTGCATATATATCTATCAAGAAGTCAAAATGGAGAAAAAGGAGAAAAGTTAAAAAGAAAAAACACAATAAGGAGTGAGTGTAAAGTGAAAAAAAATGACTACAACATTGTGTGAATATGCACATGATTATTCATGTGGCTTAGCAAGCTGATTTGTCTGCTGGAGTTAATATTCATTTGCATATGGATTCTTTGGCAAGTTATAAAGATGGAAATACCGATATGTTCCAGTATTTTGCCACTTTTGGTAGGGTTACTTTCAATCTAAAGAAATGATTGCTAAAATGTCTCCTCCCCAAATTTAAAAAATCCTGGGATCTTCTAACCAATAAAAAAATGCCCTCATCCATCCCCAAATTTATCACTTGACTGTAATGTGTTAACATTTTTACTTTGTGAACTTTTACCTTATTACTGTTGCTTTGCTTACTTTTGTCTTGCATATATATATATTGTTTGCTTAGTATTATTTTGCCCTGTTCTTTTTTTTTCTTTCCTTATTGTTAGTTGGAAACTTCATCAATTCTATTTGTTGGGCAATTTTGCAAATTACAGTTAGCCATAGCCAATTACTCCACATATGGAATTTCCATGGATCCAACTAGTAAGAATAGCAAGAATGAAAATTTCAAAATACCTTGGTTCTAACATATCAGACAAAGGCTGAAATCCTTTGGAAAAGGTAGCAAAAACAACAGCTGCAATAGCAAGACTTAAAAGCAACTGAAGATACAAGAACATCTGTTTGCAGTAAAAAAAAATCCACCTGTTGTGTTACCTTGTCATGTCAATCTTCCTGTACACCTGTAAAATATGGACACTCACAGCAGAACTCCATTGAAGAATATTGACAACAAAGATGAAATGCTACAGGAAGATCTTAGATGGCTCATCTACTGAACATTTGACAAAAAAAGATGTCTGCAGAAAGATCCATAAAACAATTAAACCTTATAATGATCTTGCAATTGTCAAAAAAAAAAAAAAAAAAAAAGAAGCTAAGTTGACATGCCATCTTGATGACCAAGTAAACAACTGCAGTTGGGATCATAGTGCAAACTCCATGATCTTTTCATTAGTTGCATAGTATGTGCTTCACCAAGGCTGAAGAGCCCAGTCTTCCCTAGTATTTAATCCATAGCTGGGGAGAGAAAAGATAGATTCATACTTTTCCTGAAAGTATTTGCACAAAAGTGAATGTAACAAAACTTCATTGGAATTCAAACTTGTTTTTCTGATTTTTCTCGTTCTGAGCCACTATCCACATTCCTCTTACAATTGTGATATCATCATAAGATCCCACAGTTATATCTCCCATTCATCAGACTTTTCAATATCCATTTTGCAAATAACAGTCCCAAGAAACTGCAGGTGAGGAAAACAGAATAAAAGATAGAAGGACAACATCCACAAAATGGACAGGCATGGATATGGCAGAATCTGAGAGGGATGGAGAAGTGTGATGGTTAGTTGAAGTTGATAACTTCTATTGATTGATTAGTTTTTTTGGCTTATCCAACCTTTGCAGGTTATTTAAAGCCAGAAAATATTTTTAGATAATAAGAACTTTTTTTAGTGATAAGAATGGTTTAGTGATACAAGTCTTACTAATTAACCTATAGCTGGGGGGATAAATGGTGGATTCATACCTTTCCCAAGGTATTTGTGTGTAAATGAATCTAACAAACCCAACAGGAATTGTAACTCGGTCTCAGATTAACAATCCCAAGCTATTATCCATTATACCACCTGCACATCCAGGCTTACAGCACTTGGTATTCCCAAGTTGTCACCCATCTAGGTACTGACTGGACTCAACATTTCTTAACTTAAGTGATCATTTAAGAACCTGTGTTTCAATGTAATGTGGCTGCAAACCTTTGATAACTTCTAATTTTTGTTTGAACTCTCTTGCTTTTTATATCAAGGTCTTAGAAAATTGAAGAGTTTTGCATCTCCAGCCATCTTTACCATGGCCTTTGATACAACTGTAGGCAGAGCAAGGAGTAGGTGAACTTTTATCTTACTTGTCCAGTTAGAAACTGTAAAATATCTGTACCATTCATTGTTAGCCTTGACAGGTGTCAGTTGGTAAAGAGGAGTTCATTTAAATGTATGGACCCAGGATATCATCACAATTTAGAAATGTTACTTTGAAATCGGTGAATCTTGAAAATGTCCTTCTTTAAAAATCAATTTCACAACTTGAGATATATCCTTTTTCTTTTGATCATTGCATTTTAGCCAATGTGTTTGTCAGCCTGAATTTCTGAGGTGAAGAGTTATTATTTACATTAGGAATATTATCCTCATCTTTGTTGTTGTTATCACAACATTTCAACCATTGCGTTCTCCAAGATTCTTTGGGTCTTTAGTGATCCAGGTAACTTTCAGGAAATCTTGAACTTAACCCGTTGTTTAATCTCTGGGTACAGATAATTTTCATTCTGCTGTCCATTTCTAGGGATATCATGTCTTGTTTTTTTTATTAGTACTACTCAAAATTAGTATGGGTACTACAATCTTAAAGTCAGTGGAAACAGGACTAATAATAACTGAACAGTACTAAAAAAAAAACAAGATGAGATATCTGTAGACATGAAAAGCAGAAAGAGAACAATCTTACCCTATTAATTAAATAAAGGGTTAAGATACAAATTCCCTGATAAGGTTAGCAGTGTTTTAAGTTGTAGTTTTGTTGAAGTTATATTTTGGAATACAGTTCATATTTGAGAAATTGTAGAATATTATATGGATTAATGTCATGAAAGAGTTCTTTCATATTGGTTGTTTGATTGGTTTTGTTTAGCAGCATATCAATACCTATATGGGTTATTTAATGTCGAAAACTAAATATTTTGTATACAATTTTATGAATTCACTTAAATATATTTTGAATGCAATTGTATGCCTTACAGATAAAATGTATTGTTGGTCATTTTGCTATAAAATGTATTGTTGGTAATTCTATAAATATATAGTGTTGGCAATTTTTTTTATATAAAAATTTATTGTTGGTATTTTTACTATAAAAATGTATTTTTATACATTCATAGTGTTTTTTTTGTTTTGTTTGTGGACTCACTATTTGCCCATAGCTGGAACCCTAACAGGTGCTACCACCTTAAGTCAAGGTGGACCTAGAAACAACAGCAATTAAGAGGTGGTTCCACACTCCCCAAAACCTCCAATCTCCCAATCAGAGGCCTTGCTGCCAGATGTACTTTATCATCACACCCAGTATTATTAAAAGAAAAAGAATCTGAACAGTAATAGCAACATGGGTTA